GACATTTTAGATATTTTGTCATTATTAAAGCAATCCAGAGTTAACCTCAAATTACCAAAAAAAAAAAAAAAAAAGGCCCAAAGATTTCCTCACTTCATTCAGAATTTCCACTGTGTCCCATGACACATGGCCTTTCATCAGCCTGCACTTGCCCAGGAGAAGGCCTCCGCTGATCTAATGACCTGGTCCATAGTTTGGAAAGTGGTCAAATTCTGTTCACCATAAAACCTGTGCATCTCCTTAAAATTGTTTAGTGGCCATAGTTGCCCCTTGCAAGAAGTTATTTTGTTACATGAAAATCCAGGGAAAACCATTTATTTAGGACCACTTACGGCTCTCGAGAGCTGTTCTGGGCCCAGGGAGATGGCTCAGGGCCTGGGGAGTGGAATAAGCACTTCCCTGGCAAGCACAAGGACCTGAGTTCAATCCCCAATTCCACAAAAAAAAAAAAAAAAAAGCTATTCCTAGGGGCTGCGGAGATGGCTCAGTAGAATAAGCACTTGCTGGCAAGTGCAAGGGCCTGAGTTTAATCCCCGGTTCCACCAAAAAAAAAAAAGCTATTCCTATTACTCAATAAATTTTCCTACTCTTGAAAATAAAATCCAGTCAAGCAAGATGATGTACACTAGGCAGCTGAGGCAGGAGGATCTCAAGTTGAGGGCTAGCCTGAGAAACTTGGCAAGACCATGCTAAGGCTGTAACGCAGGGATCGAGCACCCCCGAGTTCGCATTCAAGCCTGTGAGGGTGCGTGCGGGCGTGCGTGCGTGCGGGCGTGCGCGCGCGCGTTCCATACTGTTATCTAACACTTGATTTTCACTCATTTTGAGATCTAAAACTGAAGTTTACTTAAATCACATAACCTATTTTGTTCTTAAAATTATTTATTTCATGCCACTATATCAATTTTTTCATTTTATGTATTAAGCTACTCTGAAGAAAATCAAGAAATACTATTATGATATATAGCAAATGACTTGTTATTTCTTTAATGTATGACATTGAGTCTTAAAAGTATATCCATCTGGGGGCCGGGCTGGGAGATGCTCCGTGGAGTAAGCGCGTCCTGGCAAGCGCAAGGGCCTGAGTGCGATCCCCGGTTCCGCAAAAAAAAAAAGAAAAGAAAAGTGCATCCATCTGAAGAACTGTAGAGCCGATGGCAGTGTTTACTGCTAAAACTTTCTGTACAAGTACAGATTTTTTTTAATGTCTAGTTAAAAGATAACACATTATTTATCCATATTAATTATGCTTTTCAACAAATGTCACTGTTTCATTATTGGCCAGAGGAGGAGCTCTATATTTGGATTTTTTTGTTCATTTGTTTTCTTTCTATAACTGATTAGGTTTCCTGTTTATGTGAGTGCTTTTTGTTAATTTTTTTTTTTTTTGGCTTAATTTCTTTTAGAAACATGTCATTCAGGTTTATCAAAAGGTAGGATTTGTGTATACACACTTTATTTTTCAGTTCTCACCTTGAAATGGCTCCTGCAATTAACCTCAGGTTTGGCTTTTCTGGCCCTGTTTTTTCCTTAAAAACTAAACTTTCTGCTGAGAACTAAATACTTATTTCCTTGGAAGGAAACTGGAAAGAAATAAATTAACTCTGTCAGGATTTTAAAGGAGCTATGGCACCACACAGCAAAAGGCCTGTGCATGCTCTGTGCATGTTCTTTCTTTGGTAGAATTGTTTAGCATCCAAATAATTCTGTCATTATACTAATAACACTTAGCATGCTCCTGTTTGAGGAATGAAATGTTTAGTAACATTAACGTGTAATTTATAATTAGCCACAAGCATGCAAAAGGTAAGTGGTAATTCATATTAGTTGTCATTTTTATTAAAGTTTAAATTAGCAAAAAGGTTTTAAAGTGACAAATTATCAGTTAAGACTAATACTGGAGATAAATCTAAAATTCAAACTAACAGCCTAATTTGATTTGGCTTTTTAAGAAATGAAGACATGAGCAGCTGCACAGCCAAAATTCTGTAATATTTTTGGAAAGTTAAAGAGTAAATAGTATTCTATCTAAAAACTACTTTCCCCAGACCAATGAAGTATGCCTTGGTATTTTTACTGAAGTATTCCTGTAAATGGTTTTCTGAAGAGATTAGTATTACTGGAGTTAAAAGTCAGGGAACCAAAAATATTGCTGTCTTGGAATGTACACACACATACACTGTCTTGGAGTGCACATGCGCGCGCGCACACACACACACACAGCAAGAAACCTGCCAGTAAGAGCCATAGTGTTCCTGGCCACTCGAAGGCCAGACTGCTCATTTTTGTGTTTACAAAACTGATGGGTCATTGTGAGGGTCTGTTAACATTGAGTTCTTTATCAGAAACTGGAAAAGAGTGCTTTTCTTCCTGTCAGAAACTCTACCTCTTGATTATTTTTCAGTTGATCTCAGTTGTCAAAAATTCCCTTGGACTGAAAATGTTATAATGATATAGCTCAGCGGACAAAAACACCTGCTCAGGCAAGCACAGGGACTGTAGTTTGGTCCCCTGCACCTCATGCCATGCCAGCCCTGCCCCTAGGGCAGGCTGAGCCAGCCAGAATGTGGGTGTGGTGGCGCATGCCTGTAATCCCAAGGCTGGGGAGCCTGAAAGCAGGAGGATTGCCACCAGTCCGAGCTGCATGGTAGGACCCTGTAACAACTAAAAACATTAAAAAATAAATAAATTTTTAAAAAAGGAAGAAAATGGTATAATTGAACGTAGAACTCAACTGATAGAGCCATGCTTCCTTTTTATGGGAAACCCATTACACAGTGAGGATTATTTTAAAAACTATCCAGGAGACCCAGCAGGATGGCAGCTGTGGCTATACAGCCTGTCCTTTTCTACACCTGTGTCCTCAGGAGAACTGTGTCGCTTGTTAAGTCAGGTTGAAAGTAGGGGCTGCAGTAAGCCCAGCTGGAGACCGGAAAGGGCTTTTGGTTGTTCATTATCTGCTATTTGTGTTGCTGCATGGGTGGTCATGTACTGGTGTGTAAGATTTCTTTTCTCTTTCCCACTTCTCTCTGCTTCCACATTTTATTCATTGAGGCTTCCAACTGAATATGAGAGGAACGGGAGATATGAGGGCTCAAGGTGAGGGAAACCATTTTTACTTCAAATCACTTCTAGGTGTTTGCCTTGTTTATGTGGCGGAAGGGCACTTTTCTGAATGTTCTGCATGGCAGTCTTGTCTGTCCTGTTCCTGCTGCCGCCATCTCCAAGTGGCAGGGCGAGGAGGCTGCACCAAGCCCCAGTCACCACCTGAGGGTGCTGGTATGCCGCAGGCACCTCTCCAGCCCTGCCTCAGTGTGTTTGTGTGTAAGTGGATGGTGGTATGAGCAGCTCTGAGCACATCTAAGGTTAGGAAGTTGGGTTGGAGAAGCCCTTGACCATCACTGACTCTCAATGTGGTTCTGTTCTCAAGGGATATGACAAATCTTTAAGAGGATTTGCATGCTTCAAATTAGCTATGTTTTCTTCTAAGATTTTGGTAGGAGCCTTACATCTGCTTTTCATTTGTTGTAGCTATTGTTTCAGGATAGAGTAGGCCTCTGCTTGGCCTGTTACACACCTGTCACTGCCCTGCAATTTCAGGGCCACACTGGCCCCTTTATTCCCCTCCTAGTTTTTCTGCCCCAGCTCTGTTGGTGGGACTTTTTCTGAATGAAAGCCTTCAAAAGCCCATGGAACCTGGGCTTGGGCCTGGGCCTGGCCGCTCCATCAGGGTGGCAGGGAAAACACCAGCAACCTGTAGCAGGCTCCAGCTGACAATGGGAAGATGGCAATGGAACCTGCCTCCTGCCCCAGGCAAGCCGAGCCCTGTAGCAGGTGCTCAGCACAACCAGGGTGTCTTGGTGCTTCTGTGCCCAGAGTACGTTCCATTCATCTGCCTCCATGCAGAGGGAGGTCATCCCTCTGCTCAAAACAGAACCCCTCCCCTGGCTCCCTGTGAGGTATTGGAATCCTGTATGGAGACCTGCAAGCTGTCGCCTTCCGTAGCCCATAGCTTCTCTCGCTTCCTTGGTGTAGCCGTTAGCAGACACCTTTCCGGCACTGTTTGCTCACCTCACAGCATCCTGTTTCCCAAAATGTTGGAAAACCTGTGCTCGTTTTTGCAACACATCGAGTACCTGACTCCACATATTAGTTCCGTCTTGAATCTACTAGCTACACAGTCATTTTAGTTCTGTGTATACCAGTGAGCTATCATGTTTCATTTTTTATTTCAGTAGTAAGATTATGATTATGCTGAGGGGCCAGGGAGATGGCTCAGTGGAATAAACACTTCCCTGGCAAGCGCAAGGGCCTGATTTCAATCTCTGGTTCCGCAAAAAAAAAAAAAAAAAAAAGATTATGCTAGGCTTTGGGGTTTTATTTAGTTTTTAGGTAGTGTCTCACTTTGCAGCCTTTTAGCAGCAGCCTCAAACTCTTGGGCTTGCGCAGTCCTCCTGCCTAAGCCTCGTGAGCAGCTGGCCACAGCCACATGCTACCAGAATGTTTCTTTTTAACCGTGAAACTGGAAGTTCAACAATCAAGGAAGAAAACAGTGAGGTGGGTAGAGGTGCTACAGAACATGCTCCGCCCAGCTGTGTACTTGGCATCTGAGCGGTTTTCAGAGAAAAATGACTTTAAGCTGAATATTGAGTCCCTGAATACACTGAGTCTCTGTGACGGTCATGGTGAGGGGAGCGTGGGAACAGCAGAAGGCTGATGCCAGCGCCCACCCTGCATGGTCCAGAGGGTGGGCTGAGTCTGCTGTGTTCTGCTTACCAGATATTTGTGTTTTGGTCAGCGTGAGAGGTTGTGGAGATTCTCCAGCCAGCTAATTTGTGTATGTGGCTTGTGCACGGGGCAAGGCGGGACAGATGAGTACCTTTTCGTGGGAAAACATGGGCGTCAGTTTGTTGTTGAAGATGTTGCTGCTGAACTAGCTAAGGTGGAAAAGATTCGTTTTCCTGCACAATTAAAGATAAACCTGCCGCTGTACGTTTCAGTCGCAATGTGTCTGCTGAGCAAAAGGACGAAAACAAAGAAGCCAAACCTCGCTCCCTACGCTTCACCTGGAGCATGAAGACCACGAGTTCCATGGATCCCAGTGACATGATGCGCGAGATCCGCAAAGTGCTGGACGCCAATAACTGCGACTATGAGCAGCGGGAGCGCTTCCTGCTCTTCTGCGTGCACGGTGACGGGCATGCCGCCGAGAACCTGGTGCAGTGGGAGATGGAAGTTTGTAAACTGCCAAGACTGTCTCTGAATGGCGTCCGGTTTAAGCGGATATCAGGGACATCCATAGCTTTCAAAAATATTGCTTCCAAAATTGCCAATGAGCTAAAGCTGTAACCCAGTAATTATGGTGTAAACTAAGTAGCAATTAAAGTGTTTTCCTGACACTGATGGAGATGTGTAGAATAATATTTAGGCAATAACATCTGCATCTTCTAAATCATGACATTGAAGTCCGAGGACAAGAGCACGCCTGGGAGCGAAAGCTGGCCTTTTCTACGAATGCACTACATTAAAGTCATGTGACCTTGTGCCTCTGTCTTGTTTCCATTGCCCTGGGAACCCTCGTGTGCCACTTTGGCCACGCCTCCTGAGTGCGGTGTGAGTGCAGGAGTGTGGGCAGCAGCGCGTGCAGAGCACCTCCTTATACTCGCAGCCAGTGTTGTCGCTAGTACCTCTGTGGGAGGTCATTTGGTGCTAAACTACAGTTGCCAAGGAGGAAAACACTGAATTACTGCTAAGAATTAACCTGAAACTAGTTGATAATTAATACAGGTTTACAGTTCATGCCTGTGGTTTTGTGTTTGTTGTTTTGTGGGTTGTTTTTTTTTTCTTTTTTTTTTTTTAGTGCAAAAGGTTTAAATTTATAGTTGTGAACATTGCTTGTGTGTGTTTTTCTAAGTAGATTCACAAGATAATTAAAAATTCACTTTTTCTCAGTAAAATCTTGCATTGTCTCCTGATACTGTGTTTAAGACTGAGACCCAGGCAGTCCCTTGAGCTCAGTACTTACCTCCACCACCAGGCTGAATGCAAGTGAAGGAATGTGAGGGGAAGCTCAGGGCCACTGCCTCACAGCAGGCCCCAATATGTCGAGTTACTGTCCTCTCCCTGTGCCTCGTTCCTCAGGCCACACTGGGCACCACCTGGGCAATTGCCAGGCCTTGGCAGCTCTGGGCTGCTCTCTGCAGGGCATTGTGTGTCTCTCAGTCCTGATGATTCATACACAAGTCTGACCTAAAGCTTTTCTCCAACACCTACGTGGTTATGTAATGGTAATGAACTTGTCATTCAATTTGATGCTCTAATGTCATCACAGAAGTGTAGTGGGGTGGTTGGGGGATCCGGTTTGTTGTCTGGAGTGTGAGAGTCTGGCCAGACCTTCAGCAACCCTAGGTAGGGATCTGTTGTCCACCATGGACAAGGCATCCTTATTGTGTGAGGCGTATTGATTACAGCCCTGGCTCCCCTGTAGCACCTACTACAAGGTGTGGGGAGAACTCTGTGAAACGAACTGCAGGTCAGGGTTTTGAGAAGGTGTGGGATTCAGGTAGGCACGCCTTAAATAGCTTGTGGTGGGTCCAGCATAGAGGGGAGGCAGCCACGGAGAGCTGGCAGAGAGCACCACAAAGGCTGAAGGCCAGTTCCTTTGTGACTGTAGCAGTGGCTGGGCCGGATAGGACACCTGTACCTTACGGCCAGCCACTGCAGATGACCACTTACTTACCCAGGAGAGGTGCGTCTGGCACATGAGTGCCACATGTGGATTGTTGAATGGTAGCTGTGGTAGCTGTGGTTCACATTGGGCATAGGGGAGAAGAGCAAGGAAGCCCCTCAAGAGCTGTGGCCTGCGGGTGAGAATGCTGCTGCCCTGGGCACGCTGCATCCACAGCCACTGCCCGTGGGCCCTGGGAGCATTTAGGAATCAGGCAGCCATTTCCTCGCTGTGGAGGAGTAAAAAGGTGACTGGGAAGGGCCTCGAGAGCAGGTTTGGGTGCCATCAAGGACACCAGGCAAGAGGAGGAAAAAAGCAAGGAGAGGGCCAGTGAGACAGCTCAGCAGGCTAAAGCACCTGCCCAGGCAAGCACAGGGACTGCGGTTGGATCCCCAGTGCCATGTCCTGCACCAGCCCTGCCCCCAGGGCAGGCTGAGCTGGCCACGAAAGAAAGAAAGAATGAGACACTAGGGAGCTGCAGCAGGCAAGTGGATGAAAACTCACCGAAGAGGGGCAGGCTGGCACCCTGGACACGGGGTGAAGTAGGTAGAAGCTATCCAGCCTGGGTGAGTTAATCGCTGTGTCAGATTTTAAAAGGCTGAGATGTAGCTCAGTGCAACAGGTCCTGGGTTCAGTCCTCAGCACTGAAGGGGAAGAAATGGCAGCTGTATGACAGTGATCTGATTTTAGTGGCCATATGCCTGGCTACCCTTCACAAATCAGGCTGAGAACTCATCCATCGCAAGGGCCTGTGCCCTTCTTGCAAGTTCCACAGTTTTTACTCTACATTGAATTTTGGAAGGAAATTCTAGAAGTAAATAAAAATCATTTGTGACTCAAATACTGCCCCATGCTTTCCTCCCAAGCTCCCCAGCATTTGTCAAGGTGCGACAAGGCACCTGGCAGGTGCACCTGTGGTTGCATTCGTCGCAGACAGGAGAAAATCAAGACAATTTTCTCAGAAGCGAGTGCCATGTAGACTCTGAGGGCCTCCAGTCACAGCCAAATCTGAGTGTGACAGCCATTGGGACTGTTTCCACAGTAGACGTCCCAAAGCCTAGGCGGTCCAGATCTGTCAGAGCACGTGAGTGTGTGAACACTGCCTGGGCAGCTGTGCCCAGTGAGCACCACATGCCGTGACTGGGTGCAGCTCAGGGAGGCAAGAGACTGGGAAGCTGTTGCTGGTTCATCCTGGAAGAGGAAGGCTGTGTGTGGGAGGGTGCAGGCTTTGCTGCCCATGTTTTCGGGGTGTATCTTGTCCTCATTTATTTGCCACAGGGCCCTTTAAACCAGGATGAGAGGCTGCGTGGAGTGGTGCATGTCTATAATCCCATCATTTGGGGAGCTGAGATAGGATCTCTGAATTTGAGGTTAGTTGAAGCTGCATAGCGAGAGCCTAAATGCGATGAGGGAAGCTTAACTCTCCTGGGGAGTGTCATGAAGTGCACTGGAGGTAACTTGTTCTGCCATACAGGGGAGTCCAGGCATGCGAGTGGAGCTCAGGCCACCCTGACAGCCAGGGAAGAAGACAGCCTGACAGTGACAAGCAGCTTGGTGTGCCAGGCACTTCCTGCGAGTGGGGATGGAGCGGCACCGGGTGTGGAAGGCAGGAGGAGGCCATGCTGAGGAGAAGCGTTGGGCAGGCACAGTGGGGTGGATTATTTGGGGGACTTCATGAAGGGCCAGGTTTTGCAGACCAACCTTCCTGTCTGGCCACATGGCTCCTGGGAGCAGGGTACATGCCATATAAGAAAGCACTCTAGGTAGGTAGGGTGCTGTGGAGGCTGAGACAGGATGGCGCAGAGTTCAAGGCCAACCGGAACTACTGTGAGCCCCTGTGTCAGAAGAAGAGTGCAGAGCAGCTTCGGTGGCTGGTGGTCTGAGGTGCTCCTGAGTCTAGACAGCCAGCAGCTGCAGGGGGCAGGTTTGGCTGTGGCCTATCCTGTGTGTCTACTGGCCCTCCAGCACTTCCTCGGGGGCCAGAGGCTGGGAGGGAAAGGAGCAGGAGCAGGGTCCCCAAGGTGGGCCACACTCATCCCTCTGCCCTGCTGCCTGCCCTGGTGATCCCCACTTCACCTGCTCAAGGTAGGTGCAATCCCTGCGGTGATCGCTGTGGTCATGGCTTAGACTTTCCTGCTTTAGGATGAGATTTCCCATCAGGTGTGCAGCTGGGGCTCGGGCATTTCACCGAGCTCCTTAGTATGCATCAAGGACAGGTGGCGTGGGAAGCTTGTGCTTCCTGAGCACACAGGCCAGGCTCTGCCTCCCTTGAGAGCACCAAGAGCGAGGCAGGAAAGCTGTGCCAGGGGATCACCCTGGGGTGTGGGCAGTTGCACCCCAGGGGCCTCGTATCGGCACGCTTTGGTGTGGGGGTGCTGATCGACTGGCTGCTTCCAGGTTCTCATGGTAGAACTGGTGGGTTGCAGGCCCTGTGGTTGGCCTGTGGCTCCTGGCTGTGGTCAACTATGCTCTCACCCAGAGCTTTAATAGATCAAGTTCTTGGGGTTGCCACCCCAAAGAGGCACAGATGATGCTGTGGCTCTTAGTCCCAGTGCCTTTTGCAACTTCCTGCTCTCTCTGTATCCTGCCCACTTAGCCCACCCCAGGAGCTATTTTCAAAGACAGCCTTTTGGACAGAACCCATGCTCAGGCTGGGCCCCTGCAATGTCAGGGCACTCCTTGTGGCATGTAGCGGCTTCTCCGACCACCCTGGAGTCCCCTGCTCTTGGGAGCTTTAGTCATGGGTCAAGGCTTTTATTTATCACTTCAGTTTTAGGGGGTTTTTTGTGTGTTTTGTGAAACCGGGGATTGAATTCAGGCCCTTGCGCTTGCCAGGGAAGCACTTATCCGGCCCCTAGTTTTAGTTTTGTATCAAGGATTAATCCTGCAACTGAGTTACATCTCCAGCTCTCTCTTTTTTTTTTTTTTTTTTAGCCATTGATTGAACTCAGGACCTTGCACTTGCCAGGCAAGTGCATATTCTGAGCTATCTCCCCAGCCCTTTCTTAATTTTTTGACAGAAGTTCTCACTGAATTCCCCAGGCTGCACTCAAATTTGTGAGCCCTTATCCTCAGCTTTCTAAGTAGCTACCATACATAGGAAGGGCTTAAATATCTGAACATTAAAAACGTGTTCCCTCGCGGCTGGGGATGTAGCTCAGTAGGAGAGTACGGGGAGGCCCTTGGTTGAATTTCCAGCACTAGGGGGAAAATTGTGTTTGCACCCTGAATTTTTGCTTCTCCAGGTTAGCTGCCCTAGTTTTTTGCAAGTATTTTCAGAACATGATGAAGATGTTTCTTTGTTGCCTATTTCTGCACTCTTTGGCCTGCATATTTTGGGGAGCCAAAAGAGGAAGCTACTGTGTTTTGAGTCTGGTGGTACAAACATAAACTGGTATAAAAGCCCCGTAATGGGGCAGCTTGATCTCCCAGAGCAGAGGGACACGAGTGGCTGTCCACCGAAGGCCAAGGGAAAGACACATAGAGGTGACAGGCGTATGGATAGGATGGCAGCACCAAGGACTCCCTCGTGTCCCCCTCAGGCCAAGTGCACCAGTGACACCAGTGAGCTCCCAGGTAGTCCTGTCTTGTCACAGTCCCAGTAGTGTATGCAACAGCATGTGTCTCCTAGGGCCTTACTACCCAGTACTCTTCAGAGTACCTAGCACCTGGGGGCAGAGTTGTGCCACTTCCAGACAAAGCACGTGGCCCTGCGTAGGCAGCAGAGTCCAGGGACCTGGGGCCATTCCTGGCGCCTATCTTGCCAGGTCTTAAAGAGCAGGATCTGTGCCAGCCTGGGGCAGCTTCCTATGGGCA